ATATGTATTACTCCAATAGTATATATAGAATCGCATTATATCCCACCCCTACATATCGAAAGTCGGAAATCTTGTTTAAAATAGCTGGTTGTTATATCGGGGATATTTCTTTCCTTCAGCTAGTGCAAAAGGCGTGGCACGACACTTGAGACAGGTTGCGTCGTAATTACGAATACAAATTGCGGCGACTTATGAGTTACGAATTACGATTACGAAAATATCGGAAAAAATTACGAATTACGAAAATAAAAAATGAAAATTACGAAAAAATATTATTCCAAAAATACATCTCGTATGTACAATGTTTTTTCTGTAATTCACCGATATTGTAGTAGATCCCTTGCTCCGTGCAACCCATGTCTGGATTTGGGTCGAGTTCCCCAAATCCCACAAATATCCTGATATCCCCTTTAATCCCTCCAAATCTAATATCCTCCTTAATCTGGACAATTCACTCATTATCCCCTTTTTTCCTTCAGATACCCTGATTAAACGAAGTCTTCAGTGTGTAGGTTTTCAGGATTTAGGTCATGAGGTCTACCCTTAAATCTGTCAACACTTAAATCGGGGATAAAAGGAGATTTTAGGGATGGCAGAAGATTTGAAGAGGAATTTTTGAAAATTTTTTACAACATTTATTAGTTTTACAAGCAATATTTTTCATTTTTTTCTTCAAATTTCCCAGTACCGAAAATTTGGGAGTACCGCGGTACTGAAACTTGTTCGGTACGGTTCCGGTACCGGGAGTACCGAAAAGTTCGGTACTTTCGGGAGTACCGCGGGAGTACCGAACCGTGTCGAACACTAGTTAAAATAAAAAATAATTGGAAAGATAAACAGCAATTCATTTATTAAAAAATATTGAGGAAAAAAACTTTTTGTATTGAGATCGAGAACAACAAGAAATTTAAAAGCCCTAAAAATGCCCTATCTCGTACTGGCAAAAACCACTTACGGGGTTTTAAATTTTTTTAATTTATAGTTTTGTAAATTTAAATTGCCAACATACTTAACCAATTTCTGTATCTGGGATATTGCTTTATCCATCTCCCATAAAATACGTTCTTTATTGCTAATTCTGTCATCTCCATTTTTCTTTTGATTTTAGCAGTTTCTGATGTCACCAGTTATTAAAAATCCGTAATTGTTTTATCCTAGCCTCAGCCCTTCAAATTTTTATATCAATTTCATTAAACTTCCATTAATTAGTTATTAAAAATTATATTCAAATTATTAATTTTATTTAAACTCTCATTAATTATTAAAAATAATATTTTTAAGAAATATTAAAATTTTTATTTTATAAATTCACACGCAATTTAATAAATAATTAAATAATTCTTTTGAAATTGTTTTTAACATGAGGATATTTATAGTGGGAATAAATAATAATGTATATATTTGTTTTTTGGTGAAATTATAATGAGAAATTTTTTTTTCAGTAATTTTGAAATAAAAATTTGTTTGTTAGTTTTAAAGTCCAACGATTATAAAAAATAATTTAAAGTTTCACATATAAGATGCACTTTTATTAACATTAAAGTCCATTTGCCCTTTAAATAAAAGTTGAAAAAGTGCCGATTTATTGAATAAGCAGGAAATCATATGTATTGAATTCAATTGAAGTTTCCGCCTATTCAATAAATCGGCACTTTATAAAATTTTATTTAAAGGGCAAATGAACTTTAATGTTAATAAAAGTGCATCATACGTGTGAAACTTTAAATGATTTAGGGTTGTGAAATAATGTCAAGGTTTTATATTTAATCGAGATTATTAGAGATGGAAACCGGGAAGATGAATTACAGAAATTGCTATAGAATTGAGCTGACCGGAGCTGTGGATTGTTTAAATCGAGAGGGTTCTTTCTCTTGCTGCTCTTTCTATTATTAAGGGCATCACTGTTTGTGATTTTGAAATATTACTGTATATAATACAGTAAGTAACGATTAAATACGATACTTTTAGTAAAAACTGCAGTATTAAATAAATTTAGAGAAATTGTTTCTTCTTTTTGTCAAAAATTGTTTTATTCTTTCTATGTCGGAAATGGTTTCTTCATTTTTATTTAACTTAAAATTCGAGGTCGGAGTTAGACTCGAAAAATTCTTATCAATTTTAAATCGGAATCCCGATCCCCTCATGTTAAAGAATATATAGAGGAATTGGCCAAAAAATTTTTTCTCTCTCAATCTTAGAAGAAATCAATGTATACGTGCCAACTATGCCAGTCCTTAAAGTGCAAATTTAATTAGCTGTGAAATGGCTATTAGAGGGACCTCACAAGGGGAAAGGAGGATTTTTATGGGAGGAGTTTTAGCCAAATCCTCGTAATTTCACACGCTCCATTTTACAACTCCTCCCATCTAAAGCTCCTTTTATAAGCCGGTCAAGATTGACATTAGACTCACATTCATTTAATCATTATTAATTACCTAAATTTGTATTTTAAATTGTTTGCCTCTGAGGTTTGGCCGACTGAGGTCTGATTATGTTTAAATTTTATATTATATTACTAACCATTATAGGAAGGTATCTAGTGTTGGTATAATTTACTAGGTTGTAACACTTCCCTAAGGTCAGAATATAAAATTTCTAAACAATGGAAATTCCCCAACAAAAATTTTTTGCCATACCCAATCCAATCCTATGTATGTGGTGAGTGAGTGAGGTCTGAAAGAAGTCAAGTTTAAACTATCATGGAGTCAGGTTCTCCACACACTCTCTAGCACCTAATGGGAATAACCTAACTTTCTATAATCAGGCGTCTATTTTCTTGATTAACAAATTTATATTTTTATCCAGAAGAAAAATGCTTCTTTACTCAATTCTATTTCACTTGGGCATAGCTTCGTTGCTTCTACCTCATGCAAATGGAATGCAATCTGGTAGTAGTAACACTACGAACAAAGAATCTGAAAAGAAAAATGCTTTGGTTATTGCCCCAAACTTTCTTGGAGTTCATTTTAAAATGAACAGTGTCTTTGCCAATGCGCTGACCGAAAAGTTTTTTGTGGTGGGTGTCTAAAATTAAACTAAATTTAATTAGATTCTGCTTTAAATATTTTATTCTGGGATTATTAATTTCAATACTGACATTTTATTTTTAAAATATTGCCTTTATTAAATATTCTCCTAATTTCCAAGTTTTAATAAGTGAAGTAAATCGAAACCTCTAAAAAAGCGAAAATATGGTAAAAGAAAATTTTAAAAACCTTACACCCTGATATACGATCCCTAACATCAGGTGCACTTATCTCATTTAATTTATTACATATAATTAAATGAAATAAATTACCGTCTAGAGAGTCGGTTTATTAGAAGGGATCAGTCTAATTGAAAAAGTCGCATTATTAGAAGAAATACGGAATATAAATTTTATTCAAAATATTTTTAAATCATTTGTTGTGTCCTTATAAAAACTCTATATTTTACAAAGTTCTGAACTTTGTTTAAAAAAATTTATTTTATTATTTAATACATAAATTCAATAAAAAAGTATTAAACATTAAGCACTTTTTAATCCTGAACACAAAAAATGATGAGATTGGAGATAATTTCGACTATGGAATTGATCTTGGAAATTTTGAAGAAGGAACAGGAAATACATATCAAGTTGTCAATTTTCCGGACGATTATCCCGAAAAATTGAACGAGGGCGTGAAAAATTTAGAGAATAAATTCTTAAAGAGAGGTTACGAACAGAGTAGTCAAATTCTGGAAAATGAAGCTTTCACCGTCTATAAAGGTGTTGTTAATTGGTTAATAATATATAAAATATTTAAGATTTGTTTGAAAATAATCGAGCTACTGTTCATTACCTGAAGGAAGCAAAGTTTGATTTGGGGGTCTTTGACACTTGGGACACTGGAGCTCTCTTCATTCTCCATGCAGCAGGAATTAAAAATGTTTTTGGCATTAACAACTTTCAACTTAATGCTTATCAATTTAAATATGCTGGGAAAGAATTTCCAAAAAATATTCCTGGTGAGGATAAATTGAAAATTTTATTCAATCAATTATATTTTAAGAAATTTATTCGGCACAAATAGGCGATAATGAATTATCACCATCAAAGGAAAGGAAGAGAGAAATAGCCGAACAATATGAAAAAAGCTTTCAAATATTCTCAGCTGTTCATAACCATTTGGTTATTTAATTAATTTAATTAAAATTCTAAGCACCGCATATTCCAAATTAAAACATACACGGGTTTTACCATTAATATCTTCCTAACAAAAATAATTGTGAATCGGGAAATAAATATTTGTGTAAAATAAGCGAGGACAGAGATTAAGCTGATACATTTGATCGTAAAGGATATGGGTAAATCTAAATATCTCGAAAAATTTTAACATATGTAGATGTTTGAATGTGACTATTCCCGGTCTGATTTCTGGTTACTATACATACATATTTGTTGAAAATATAACTCCACCATTTAATTATGTATCCCTATGTATGTACATACATATATTAATTACTTCCTCAAGCGAAGACCTAGCTAATTAATTGAGTATAATATAAATTTTACAGAACACCTGGTATGCACTTATCGATAAATCAGGCGTAACGGTACAGAATCTTTATTCAAAGATTAAAGGAATATTCCTCAACGGACATCAATTATTTGATTTTCCTTTAGGTGAAAACAAACCTGAAAATGTTTTTTATGTTGGCGGGATTCATTTGAAAGAATATAAACATGAACAGGCAAGATTTTTAAAACATTGTTATGGTCATATTTATTATGAAAATTTTTTGGAAGGGAGGCAAACGCCTTCCAATTCAATTATCCATCACTTCTTTGATGGCTTGTGTTACCTAAAACTCAGACTAAACCTGATCCTAGAATACTAAATTTTAAAAACTATCCAAACGAGAAATTTTTTTCCAACACGGCCCATACCTGGAAAGCACGGACAATAGAAGTTAGGTCACCAACTTTTTGTGGGGGAAAAATAGTTCAAGACATAAATACAGGATAAATTAAGTCTATAATGTTTGTAATTTCAAAGGAATCCGTGGATGAAAACAAACAAGTGATTATAAGCATTGAATATTGCAAACAAATTGCTCAACCTGAAACAATAATAATTTTGGAAAAGTTAGTAAAAACTTTTGAGAACGTGTCAAATTCAGAAGAAATCAAATTAATTTATGATTGTGCAGCAAAAGGAGAAGATTTGAAAAATTTAAAACAAGTGTTAAATCTTGACAACCATGTCATTAAAAAAATTCCAGAAATGCAAGAGGAATTGGGTATATTTGAAATTATTATAGAATACCTACCCCCATTTACTAAAGTAAAGCCTCACTCGGAGGACAGTTTTAAAATCAGCCCCTGGGGCTTATTTTGCGAAATATGATAATTGTTTCTTTATTTTCCAGCAAAAGGTAACACACTTCTATTAATCACCAATGGCAGTGGATACCAAATAATTGAGGCATTTTATGAGAATGTTCCAATTTTAACTTTGCCCTATATTGTGGATCAATTTTATGTTTCTGAAGCTTTGAAAATTACTCATGAAATTGAAATTGAAAATTCTGCTGGGAAAGGAGCAATTAATGGAGGAAGTCCCAAGCATGTGAATGGACGAGGCAAATCCCCATATTCTCCAAATAAATCCCCGACTAAAACCAGTCTTCATGGTGGACATAAAAGTCCAGGCAAACATGGCGAGAAAAGTCACACTGGCAAACAAAAAATAAAAATTGATGCTCCAACATTGAGCTTCAACCTTATGTTAAATGAGAAAATTGAAATGATTGAAGAAGCTTTGAAGGAGGCTTTGTTTGATGCTAGGTAATTAATAGTTGAATAAAAATATCAGAATTTAAATTAAAATAGAAAATTTTGGTTTGGAGTGTAAGGATTTTGGGGCTTAAAAAACTTCTGTCTAAAAACAGCAAGTTTTATCTTACGGTCCTATTATTTTATCATAAAAATTTATTTTTTTGGTTTAGCTACAAGGCCAATGTTAACAAAGTTCATCAATATTTGCGCAAGACAATGAGCAAGGACAACCCTAGTAATCCAAAAAATATTTTCCTCAAGAAAATAGAAGAAGTTCTTCATAAATCTGATGGAGGAAATGGAAATGATTTGAAGAGTAAATTGTAAAAACAAACAAAAAACGCATTTTCATTGACCGTGTCTGTCGCTTTGCCGAACGTTTTAACCGGATTTCTTCTTTCGGGGCCGTGTTGTGTACATAATTATTTTTATTACTATTTTAGTCAGCCATTTCGTATAATTCATTTTAACATCCTTTCCCCGCCTAGTCAAAAGCAAGCTGGTCTACCTTCTTCCATACTGTACATCCCAAAAATTTCTTGATGTATTAAACGGCTGTAAAACCTTTTAAGCTGATGCTCCTATAAGCTATGAATTCAATTAGAAGTAGTTTACGATGTAATCCGAAGCGCTACTTGCATAGAATATTGTCTCTAATGTAAGAAATAAGGGCTATAATTTCAGTTAATATTTCAAATGAAATTAAATTTATATAAAATACGAATATTTCTAGTGCCTTTTAGGGGAAGTTTATATGATTCTAAAAATTCCTTATCAAAAATTGATAGATGAGCGAATCGTATAAAATTGAGTAAATCATTAGAAAAATCATAGATGCCACTTTCGCAATATATTGGTGCATCAGTTATTATCCCTTAAAATTAAAATAAGAAAATCCCCCCATATACATACCTATCTTATTTACTTTTCTATTTTGTTGTACATACCACATACATATGTAATTTTCTTATTTATTATTTATTTTTTAATTCTGTAGTTTATCGATAAATTAGTAGAAAGAAAATTTGTTATATGTAGTATAGATCCAATCTTGGTACTTTTTCCAAATCTTGGTACTTTGTTCCATATCCTACCCATGTCCTACTCGTAACTATTTACATAATTCTTTAACCTACCTTCTAGCTTTCTTCTACATAATTTGCCTTTTACTCATAACGTGTGAGTAAATAAATGATTGACAGTAAAAAATTGATCTGAGACTTGAATAGAGGTGGAAGGGAGTAGGATATAACAAATTGCCTAGATCTTTCAAGATCATGAAAAAGATTTGAGCCCAAGAACCTAAGACCAAAATTTACAAATTCAATAAATTCTTTGGGACCACATCAGAGATGTTTCGAAACAAAAAAATCTTCGAAAATCGGAAATCGAAAATCGAAAAAAATCCAAAAATATCGAAATCGAAAATCGAAAATATTTTTCAAAATCTTCGAAATCGAAAATCGAAAATCGAAAGAAAAATAACCTCGAAAATCGAAAATCGAAAAACGAAAATCGAAAAAAAAATTTTTAATAGAAAAAATTAAAAAATAAATTTTTATGTTACAAGTTGGAACTTTTGCTTGAACTCTAAGGAATTTGGGATTCCAAGGAAATCACGGATATCCAAACCCAAAATTTTGCATATCAGATTGAGATCCTGGCTCCAGAGCCGGTGATTTTCTGAGCCGCTTCTTGTTATCTCCAGACTCCGAGTGTAAAGATTAATATTTAATCCTGAGATCTGTGTGGGTTAAGAGGGATAACGGAGGATTTGAGTAAACTCATAAGGTGGTACCTGGCATAGGGTTCCGGCAAGGGGCCTGCTCTCTCCAACTGGCCTGCTCCATCCATCTGGCCTGCTCCCTCCAAATGGCCTGCTCCCTCCAATCCCACCTTAATTCAAGAAATACTCCAATATACCGGAGCCGAAGCATTATATTGTTAATAGATCAGGGTTTCCTCCAATTAGCGCCGCAGGCGAAAATTTTGGGAATTTTGAAAGGCTAAGAACCAAAAATCTTTCTTAATTGCGCCGGAGGCGAAAATTTTGATGATCCTTAAGGCAAAAATCTTTCTTTTTCAGCGCCGCAGGCAAAAATTTTGAGAATTTTGAAAGGCTAAGAACCAAAAATCTTTCTTAATTGCGCCGGAGGCGAAAATTTTGATGATCCTTAAGGCAAAAATCTTTCTTTTTCAGCGCCGCAGGCAAAAATTTTGAGAATTTTGGAAGGTCAAGAAGCCAAAAATCTTCCCTTTTCTGCGCCGCAGGCAAAAATTTTGAGAATTTTGGAAGGCCATGAAGCCAAAAGTCTTCCTTTTCTGCGCCGCAGACGAAAATTTTTTTAAGTTTATGATGGCCAATAAGCCAAAAATCCTCCACTTTGGCGCCAAAAATTAAAATTTTTCAAAAATTCGGAAATCGAAAATCGAAAATATCACAAAATTTCGAAAATCGGAAATCGAAAATCGAAAGGAAAAAAACCTCGAAAATCGAAAAACGAAAATCGAAAATCGAAATTTCGAAACATCTCTGTCCATCACATCCATTTTAATTTTTTTTATTTTAAATAAAATTAATTATATTTACATTGTTTGTATTAAAAGAAGGTGTTTCTTCCAAAAAATAAATGCTTAAATAAATAAACATTTTTGCTTGTAATTAATGTTTTGCGACACATTTTGTAAAAAATCAAATGGATGATTAAAATATAAAAAGTAGCCATATATGTATTTTTTATTAATATTTATTTTTGTGAATATTCTATTTGATTTTTTAATTTAATTGCAATCATTTCCATTAGCATAGCTTAATCATAATGTAGAAACTTCTGGTTTAGAATTTTGGATTATGTCTTTTCTTTAAAGTTTTTTATTCATTTTTGGTTTAAATTTCTTACGCTTTTAGTTTTTAGTATTTTTTTACAATGCTTATCAAAATTTTAATTTTTTGTTAAAAGCTTATTGAATTTTTCTTATTTTTTTAAATTTATTTTTCTTTTCTTTTATTACCTCATTTAAAATATTATGTAATTTTTTTCTTCATTTTCTCTTTTTTTTTAAATTTTTTAAACGGATTATTATTTAAATATCAGACATATTTAATCCTGAATTTAATTTTTATTTATTTTTTATATATCCTTTTCTGTTTATTTTTGCAACAACAAAAGAAATATAGACAAATACTGGTTATATAAATAAATGATTAAACAATTTAACGTTTATAGGTGTTGTTATTGCTTGATTGCTTCACAAAAATATTTTTTTAAAAATAATTATTTATTTTTATTTTAATCGCTTCCAAGGTCAAAAAATTTATACTAAATAAATATATTATATTTATTTATTTTTTAAAATATTTAATAGTTAAATAAAATAAATATTTAATTTTAATAAAAATATTTTTGTTTTTTCCAATTAATTTAATTTAAATTGCAACATATATCCATCCATCCAGTTATCTAGTTAATTTAACAAAATCTAGTTTATTTTTATTTTTTTATGGCTACTATTATCTATTTATCTGTTCCTCCTTTCTTTTACCTAATTTACGTAACAAAACAAGAATTAATTTTTTGTTATTTGCGCTAAGCAATAATTAATGTAAATAATTAAAGATTGGTCATTTCCCAATTGCTAATTGAATCTAAAAATTAAAATAAATAAATAAATATACCTAATTGTTATTTTTAATTAATTATTTTTATATTTTATTTTTTAATTTATTTTAAAACTTAAATTAGAATTGTTTAATTTACTTACTTTTATTCTTTTTTTTATATTTTATTTTTAATATTTTAGGAAAAAATTTAATTTTTCTTTTTATAAAATGCGGCACCCAACACTTTTATTTGAACGAGGATTTTATTTGCTTGGCTATCAGATTGGTAAATTATTTATTAATTTTTTATGGAAATTAAAAAAATATGGAAATATTTTTAAGAATTATAAAATTTGTAAGAGAAAAGTAAATGAAAATTTGAATTAAATATAAATATTTTTTTTTAAATAATTTAAAAATTTCTGTGGTCTTTGTATTAAGTGGAGGATTTTTGGCTTATTGGCCATCATAAACTTAAAAAAATTTTCGTCTGCGGCGCAGAAAAGGAAGACTTTTGGCTTCATGGCCTTCCAAAATTCTCAAAATTTTTGCCTGCGGCGCAGAAAAGGGAAGATTTTTGGCTTCTTGACCTTCCAAAATTCTCAAAATTTTTGCCTGCGGCGCTGAAAAAGAAAGATTTTTGCCTTAAGGATCATCAAAATTTTCGCCTCCGGCGCAATTAAGAAAGATTTTTGGTTCTTAGCCTTTCAAAATTCTCAAAATTTTTGCCTGCGGCGCTGAAAAAGAAAGATTTTTGCCTTAAGGATCATCAAAATTTTCGCCTCCGGCGCAATTAAGAAAGATTTTTGGTTCTTAGCCTTTCAAAATTCCCAAAATTTTCGCCTGCGGCGCTAATTGGAGGAAACCCTGATCTATTAACAATATAATGCTTCGGCTCCGGTATATTGGAGTATTTCTTGAATTAAGGTGGGATTGGAGGGAGCAGGCCATTTGGAGGGAGCAGGCCAGATGGATGGAGCAGGCCAGTTGGAGAGAGCAGGCCCCTTGCCGGAACCCTATGCCAGGTACCACCTTATGAGTTTACTCAAATCCTCCGTTATCCCTCTTAACCCACACAGATCTCAGGATTAAATATTAATCTTTACACTCGGAGTCTGGAGATAACAAGAAGCGGCTCAGAAAATCACCGGCTCTGGAGCCAGGATCTCAATCTGATATGCAAAATTTTGGGTTTGGATATCCGTGATTTCCTTGGAATCCCAAATTCCTTAGAGTTCAAGCAAAAGTTCCAACTTGTAACATAAAAATTTATTTTTTAATTTTTTCTATTAAAAATTTTTTTTTCGATTTTCGTTTTTCGATTTTCGATTTTCGAGGTTATTTTTCTTTCGATTTTCGATTTTCGATTTCGAAGATTTTGAAAAATATTTTCGATTTTCGATTTCGATATTTTTGGATTTTTTTCGATTTTCGATTTCCGATTTTCGAAGATTTTTTTGTTTCGAAACATCTCTGGTGATGGATCAGATAAAAATAAATTAACGGTTTCACTTAACATCTTTTAACACCAAAAATATTATTTTTTAAAACATGTTAACAAGTTCCATTTATTTTAAATGGAATTGGATATGTCAAAAATAATTATTAATTTCCTTTTTATTTTTGTCATTAATCATTTAAAAAATTGTTAGTTAAACTTTTCGGGGATAACAAGCATGACTTGGATAGGAGCCATTGAAAGAAATGTATAGGGAATTCCCTATAGTTATCTGATAAAATAAGAGGAAATAAAAATATTGTAATGTGGGTATTGTAAATTGTAAATATTGTAAATTGTGGGTATTGTAAATTGTAAATATTGTGGTATTGTAAATTGTAAATATTGTAAATTGTAATGTGCTTAAAATTAACAGGTAGGAGAGGAGGGGGATGCTTTTCTGTGGTGGGAGAGGGGGAGGGAGTATGGA